GGAAGGGTTACGAGTAGAAGATGAGAAAAACAATGAAAAACGACGATCAAAAACAATTATGAATATTCACCGTGAGCAGAAAAGACTACCAATCAGTAATACAGAGTTAATTTGTACGAAGAAATCATCGATTAGAGGAAGGCACTTGTACTGTTGTACATAATCGATAACAGATGAATGTATAAAAAGGTAGCACATCTACAAGCCAAAGGACCATGAAACCGCTAAGAACAGCTTTGCATACCTACTTCAATACATACAGTAACTCAAACAAACAACCTGTCATGGCCTTTTAAATTTTATAATTCGGAGCCGGTCGATTGAAGGGGTTGACGTTCGGAAATCGAAGATCTTGATTCGAACCCAACGGGCAATAGTATCCTGACGAATTCAGCGATTGTCTGCTTCCTTAAATCAAAAATTTGAAAATTGTAGGAACCATGAGAAATCTTAGTTGTACCGACGTTTTAAAATTTACTTTTTTTACTGAACTATTTCACTTCTACTAGAGCTACTTCTCTTAAAGACATTTTTACTAAGTCTGTGATTTTAACCTTAGCTATGATTTTGGAAATTTCCCATTGTTTCCAAATCTTCAACACCACGATCGAGCTGTTCTTTCAGACGAACGAGGTGCCCTCTCCGCACAGAGCGCAAATATAATAGACGGTTTTTCTGACTTTTCTCGGATTAGAAATTCAAATGGAAGCGACTGTAAGAGGAAGGCCCATTTTGGTCAACCTGACATTCCATCACGTAACAAACCGTAAGCCCAAATCCCGAATGGAACCCAAAATCTAAATCAAGCAAAAGTAAAACAGATTAATTTTGAACTCATTCGATTTTTTTCACTATTTATCGCAAATGAGGCTTGATGGGAGGATTCAGGTGCCAGTGTCCGGATGTGGGGGGACACCCACGTCTGGGCACTTAGAAGCTTTATACTAGCAGCTTTTAAGTCGGAAACGTTAGTAGACATTATGAAGGAGGTGCGGCGCAACACCATCCGCTTCATCAAGGTATGACGCCTTTTTACAATCCCCGTCTATTTTCTTTGGGTACATTTTTAGTCCGATGGATTGACGGTAGCTTGTTATGAAAGTTCGGGTTTTTTAGTTGTCGATAAGTAGGAGGACTCATTCAAATTGGATCCCCACCGTGGTGGCATGTCAACAGATATTGCAAAGATTCAACTCGTACCGCCTAGAACCATCCACCATTTTATCCAACTCTTCAAAACAACCGTAAGAACTGCACTATCAAAAAAAAAATCGACAAAATAAAGCAACGGCAAGGGTTTCATAAACAACTGGTTTAGCGGACAAAATGAAGCGAACGTTGGACTAGACCAACCATGGAAGAGTCTAGGTACAAGTACATTTGAGCCGACATGACTACATCCAGGCGTAGCAGTGGCTTCCTTCAAATCAGCCTGGCCAGACCCTCTCTCGAGGTAAGGTCTCATGGATTGGCAAACCTATGGAGCTAGATCCAAAAAAGGCTTATGATGAGCTGAGACCACGCATACTCCCCAGGCACAATGTCCCGTTCCCGTCGCCGCCTCGTTTGTACCGAAGATGCTCTCATGGAACATGACCGGCCAACTGTGGCTTAGATATTGGAATACCATCTCTTTACTTCAAATTCAAACAGTTTGTCTGCATTTGAAGCTCCGTCTATTGTCCGATTTTCTCAAGCAGTCAACAGATTGATAACACTTCGTCAAGCTGCAGTCGAATCGCATCTGCCTTTGGACTTTTCTCTGCACTGAAAAGCCATTCGTATAAATCGTCTGCGCTGTGCTTTGAGAAAAACTTCGACTTTCTACGGAAAACTTTATGAGCATTTCTTCTGCTTCACGCGTAGGGAATTCGACGAATCACGTACTTTTATTAGGTTCTCGGCCTATTTCGGAACCGATTACAATGCCGTCGAAAAAGCTATTTGAACAGTTGATCAGCAAAATAAAACTGTGTCATTCTGTAAATGCCTTTCGATACCTGAAAGGCGCTTCAAATGCCTCAGTCATGACCAGGCCTGGAATTGTCATGCCTAGGGTGCCCCACCGAAAATTTACTCTTAACTGAGTTCAGCATTACTGGGTCTGGCCTAGCGCGGCAAGCAGTTGGGCGAAATAGTTGATACATTGCCTCTCTCTTATGGTGGAAAACGCGATGAACTGAAAACACGCTTTCTGGTGAAAATGGTGAAATCTCTATAGACGTACTTGAATGCCCGCCCGATGCAATTACATATTTTTGAGTAACGAAGTTGTTCAAAAAGAGAAAGATCAAGAATAATCCAGGGTCGCACTGCCAATGGCCTGATACCGCATCTACTCAACCTAAACAGCAAAACTCGGCAAAACCTCACATTTTAAACAGCAAAACTCGGCCAAACCTCACATTTCTGGGGGTCAATTCATCACCATCACAAACTCTGTTCAAAAGAAACCCTAAAATAGAAGTTGCCCGACTTCCACAGAATCTTTCTCGGGAGAAATTGCATAGAACAAACGAGGAACCATGTACACCTACAAAGTTGAATGAAACTCAGAGGCATGGCCCATTCCAACCGATCTATTCCAAACCGATCAGCACAGAAAATTCCTCCTGCCGTAGCCTTCTTGCAGTGAAATTTCTTCGAGACTCTAGTCTTCTACAACGATTATGTTTTGTATCCGAAGTCACATTCCGAAAACCCGATTCTCCAACGATCAAACACCATAAAGTTGGTCGGCTGCCACATTTTAATGATGAAATCGTAAATCAACGAAAATGACAAAAAGTCCACCATATTAGGGATGACCTTCGCTCGCTGATTTTTATAGAGTCCTTCTGCACAGCGTCTTGCAGAAATGCAATCACTAAATATGTATTGGTGTGTATGCCTATCTGGCCATGTTGTTTTCTGAACCGACTGAATCATAGACGACTGTAAGGTGATGACGATGGCATTGTCACAGCCCATCTACCGATACATAACAGAACGACAACCTGTCCTAAACACTTCAGCAAAGAGATAGAAACATAATAACAAATGACCGAGCACCTTCAGCACATCACATGAGAATACCACACGCAAAAATTTCTTGGACGACAACAACGAGATGGTTTTTAACATCCAACGGTTGCCAGGAAGGTAGCACCACGTCGAACCGTATCATGTCAAAAGAAGGCAGCAATATTACTTTAATTCACGTAGTCACACAAAACACTGCTTAAACTGCCCACTAGGTGGAACGCATTGTGTCCGAGGGCATGCAGACCAAAGCCAACCAAGGCGCCACAGCAGACGAACAAAAGTATTTACTAATCTGTTGCCGCGACAAGTAAACTATTGAGAAACTGCCGCAAGCTTCCAGCAGATCGGGTCCGCTGAAATACATCCCAGCCTTCACCGCTACATTTTAGAGATCGGGTCTCTGAACCGAAAATAAAAGAGCGGAGGGAATCAAGCTCCTGAGAAAAAAGAAGAGGCTACATGCGCTTCCTTACACGCCCCCTACCTTTTACGTACTGAGCTGCTGGTTCAGCTGCTAGCCACCTGAAAGGCTTGGTTATGGTCTTCTTCGTCGGAATGTATATCAACCCAGAGAAACTGCACTTCCACCTTGAAGATGTGCATTTCCATTGTCGTTTCACCTTTTGACTGCATTTTTAAATTTTTTCCACGTATCAGTGTGATAGTTACTATTGCTGCTCCGTTCTACTGAATTCAATAACTTCAGCCTTCGCAGCTGCCTAGTTCCATCGAATGCCATTCAATTGAGTTCGCCCCCATTCTGTGAAATCAAGAAATCCCAATCAAATTGTTGGACAGGAGCGAGCTCCACTCAGTTCTACGGAAATGCGCAAAAAACCTCAACTAATTAATCGATCATCATTGTACTCGATCAGAAATTGGAATTACCCATGACTTTTTTTTCATTCTCTTTAGATTAATTCGCTTCGACGGAACAACGATACAGAATCCAAAAAAGCATTGGCGACCGTCACGCGGTCCTACTCTTCATTCCATCAAATTCTGATTGCTTCCTACGTAAGGAACATTCAGGCTCCCTTAAAGCCGAAAGAGGAGGGCAGCTTGGAATGGTTCTCAGACTGGGAACTGTCTGTCCCTGCTTTTATGCCCGCAAAATGGAAGTAGAAGCCTGTCTGATCTCATTTCAAGGAATAAAATCAAGCCAAAATGACTGATTTTGAATTGTTAGGAAAATTATACTATTATTCGAACAGATACTAGAGTAGTAGCAGCGGCACTAGCTTACATAGTTCAGAAGGACCACGCGTGAACTTGACTGCTCCCCTTCAAAGTGGGTAAGTTAACCCCATTGTTGAAGGTAAGGTAAACAAGATAAGCACAAACATTATGTAGATCATCGAATAATTCTATGTACAGCCCGAAAATTCATGTTGCTCTTTGATCTTAATTTACTTTTTGTTGAACCGTATCACTTTAACTACTCACTTTGCATGTCTGTTCAAAAAGAACCGTAAATAAAAGTTGAACGCACGGCGCAACTAACAATAAGAAGTCTGCTTTGTCAACCGCTTCATTATTTTTCGACAGCCAAAACTTCTGTGGCGTGAAAAGAGAATTAATCAAAAGGACCAGAATAGGCATTGAACAAAAGAGGGAAGAAGAAGAGTCGGTCAACCTGATCTGTTTACTGTCCCATGTGTTCTCTGTCATATACTAAAATGATAAGGAAAGGTGAATCAAAGGTTGGCAGTGAAAGTGTTCGTGTAAGAAGCCCCTCAGTAAGGTAGTACTAATAATAACGCAGTATTCCAACGTTTCTGACTTATCCATAATAAACAAAAGCCTAGGAGGATTAGACCTTTCTTCCTCCTTTCGATAAAATACACACAAATCCCAAGAAATCCACCCATATCAGAAAATAGCATTCGAAAACATTTGCCCTATAAAGGATTGAGATTGCGTTGGGCTTTTCGAACCAGATAAGCACCGGGAGCGGCCTTTTAAGATGAGATTCTTTACAGTGATTCGCTTTGTATGACAAATTTATCTTGATTCCGATCCATCAATCGATAATCATTAATTAAATGCTGAATCTTCTTGAAGATCAAATACTCACCCATCATAGATCCCATACTCATTCGAGCTTCTGCAATCGAAGGGGCCGTTGGGGTAGCTGATGTGATCGTGCTGGTTCGCCGTGTCGGCGGTGGTGGGCGAGACGCACTTTCTGAAAACTTTTTTTTGTAAATACCCACATTACCTATAAATTGTCTGTCATAGCTAATTTGTAAACACAGCTGCACTAAACTTCCTCAAAAAAAAACTAATAGGTACACAAAAATCAAACATGAACAGAGGAGACAGGAGATCGCCGCTTTCTTTTGAGCAGAACAGACTCGAGTGCAGCCGTGTCAACAAGACGTCCTTTCCCTCTAGTGTAAATTAGTCCAAATTTCTGGGGAGTGACAAGTTCAGGGAACTTGTTTAACAACCCATTTTGCTTTCAATTACTTTCTCAATAAGAGCAGTGTCAAATACACAGCGTAACCCAGAAAAATCAACCGACGTCGCAGATGGTGATTAATTGGAAATTAATTTGAAAAGGATTAACAAAGAAGCAAGAACTCTAAACAGGAGTAAAAACAAAAAGAGCATCCAGATAAGCTAAGGTAGGCAATTTTACATGAGCTTCTCCAGACCCACCTCCTCTTATACGGACTCCATTCTGCATATGAGAACCGCCACCTCCAGCATTGGATCCTGTATTCGTTGCATGTCCATTGGCGGTTGCTAACGGTGGATCACATCCGTTCGTTGTACGCAATGCAGCATATTCCGTGTGGACACGATGTGGTACAGCAGTATGCTGTTGTTGATGTTGATCTGCAGCCACACAATAACTTTCGAGATCGGATCCAAGCTGATCTGAATCACCTACGAATACATGCTACATTCTAGGGGCCAACGATTACAATTACTTACCGATTTGTTGCAGTGTCTCAGCTATCAAGGCCGCTGATGAAGCTGCGTCTGAACTACTGCATGAGCTGCTGCCAGTCCGAAAAGTGGGAGCTGTACAAAACGTTGGCGTCTGAAATACTGCACTCTACTTTGATGCCCTCGAAATCCAGACAAAGTTTCCAGATAGGAAATCTTGGAGTAGCCCCGAGGGTTCAATGCGGCTGTACAAACTATCCCACCTTCCGCCTTATAAAAGTGCCAGACCGTTAGCAAGCTGTGAATGTAATTTTCCTCTATATCTCNCTGACATGAGCTCATTCATACCATGATAACAGATCTTTACCGATGCACTTGTTCTTTTTCGGATTTCCAAATCCTACTGTGTAGTAATGGACCCAATCAGCGTATACTTCGAATATTATCTATTTTCCTCTACAAAAAGTAAAAGCTGGAATACTCATAAACCCTTTTTCCAAAAATTGCGGCCAATTTTACCAAAAAAACTTCTACTGAAATCTGGCACAACATACAGGTAGGAAACATCCCTCAGTATTTGAATGATCCCTACCTATAAGGATGAGCATTGTTACACAAGAAAATCATGGAGTGAATTCACCTTCAAGTATATCTTCTAGCTCTCAAATGATCACTTTCTAGTTTCAAATTAAAAAAATTCAATTTTAAACTTTGGAATTTTTAGTTTGTCTGTTAAAATCTTTTCAATCACAAACGAAAACACACGTGATCGCTTCTAACACCGAAAGTGTTCATTACACTTAACGGCCTTCGTTCAGAAACAGAACATACTGTACCTTTCTGAAAGAGATAAAAATAATTTTTTCAGAAAACGTGCTCAGTTAAGAAAGCTTTGAGGGATTTTGATTTAATATAAGGAAAATTTATCCACTCACACTAGCAAAAGTCGTCCGCAATTCGCCGGTGAAGCTCTGCGGTCGTTGCACCCTTCCACTGGGTGCTGAGTTGAGATCGAACTGAGATCCACCGACAGGGCGATACGATGGAGGGGGACCCTGCTGTTGATTGATATTCTGCTGTTGAGTCGTTGGCACTTCAGGAGGAGGGGTATACCGGGCCTTAAGTATAAGAGGAGTAGTTCAAGGATATTTTAAGATGGAAACAAGAATAATAATAAAAAAAAACCTTGGTTATGCTTTTCTCGCTCGGCCGTCGTTGCAACGGCGGCTTCGATGGCGGAATGAACGTATGCGATGTGATTCCACAGTGGTTAGAATTGAACCTATGAGCATCACAATTAAGGACAACGGTAGAAAGTCACCATTCATCAAATTCTCCCAAATAGGTCAAATAATGGGAATTCTATCAAAAGTACATGAGCTAGTGATTACAGCGCGAGTGGCCCCTAACCACCCTCGGTTCAAGTAGACTTATCGTCATTTTGCCCCTCTTATTGAGTACAGCTTCAAGCCAACAAGGGAGGTGGGACAGCGTGGGCCCTAGCATGGTCTCGAAAGTACTTCTATGTTGCAATGCACCCAATCTAGCTACTAGTAAATTCTCTTCTTGCCGTCGACCAGTTATGAAGAGCACTACTCATAACCGAAATTCTTGTTTACCTTGATGCTCCAGATATCGTGTGCGGTCTGGCTGCTTGAGGCGTCATGTCGTGGTCTTCTGAAGCAAATGACTTATCAATTTCAGAAGAAGATACCTATAAAACCTAGAAACGCACCATGACTGAAACTACTTCCAGGGGTTGTGGCACGTGTCGACAGACCGCCATCCTCGCCCGAGTCGCCACTACGGTAGGCACGAGCGGCATTCGTCAGACATTGTCGCCAAGCGTTATCGGCGCCTTGTGATAAGTCGCTAAGAATAGTCTGCACCAGGGTATGACCGTCAACGAACTGTAAAAGTACCAGTTAGTTAAAGAGATCTACAAGATTCTGTGACAATAAAACAAATTAGAAGATAATGTTTGGAGAGTCATCCCCATATCCTCATCCGAATCCAAAATGACACCTCTTATGGGCGGATCTCGAACGACCGATTGAAAAAGCCTCCTATTCACAACAGCGACTACGAATTTACTACATAAAATGGAAGACAGTGTTCTCAATTTTCTCAGCGCTGACTGATTGATTCTGCTTGAGATACGCCAATGCTTTTGACTTTTGCTTCGCATCGTAATAGCGTCTGAATGCATATTTGACCTATATGATGGTTAAACTATGTACAAGTCATACTTTGATCCTTCTGTCATAGACCGCTCTTGGACATTCTAACCGATCTCTGAGAATCGATGATTAGACTCGTCTGTCAAACAAACGGGGTTTTCGGGTGAATACCCTGAGCTGGTATTTAAACGAGAATTCGATACCCGGACCACATGTGAATAGCGCTTTGCTTTTCCCTTTTACCCTTCTTTAGCTGTTTTTAATTTGAATACGATCTTTAATTTCTAATTCCTGGATTTTTATGGCCTTCAAACTAAAAGACCTATAACTTTGGGCCCTCATCCCCCAAAAAACTGACCTTCACCGTGCTGTCCAGGTTCTCGACCACCTGTCGAATGTGAGAGCCTTCATCGAGAAGAGAAATTTCGGCGGTCTGTGAAAAAGAAGAAAAAATGGACAAGAAACAATAGCCACGACAGCTGCTCAATTATTTATAGACTGATGGGTAAGAAAAGAAACTCACAAAAACCGGCATAATGGTTCCTATGAAGAACGAGAACTGGGTACGTTGTTCGCTAAGAACTTGACTACAAAGTTGACGTTGTTCGGAAACAGCGGCCGGGTCCGGTCGGCCTTTTCTCGTTCTCACCTTGAAATGGAGTTATTCAAAATTGATAAGACCAGAGGATATAATTTGAAACTGCCACAATCAATCCCGTTTCCAAAAATAGGATATCAGCCTCCCACACTCGACTTCCGTTTAGAACATCGGGAGGAGGAGAGAGGAAGGGGAGCCTGTACAATGACTTGTGAAGGTCAATCTATGCACAACACGGTGCTTCTATCCTCCCAGTCCAGTCTGGAACCAATAAACCGACTCTGGAGTGATGGAAGGCTTGGTTGCCGTGGACGAACATCGAGCCGGGATTCGTTCCTCAGACAATAAGTGTATGATGATGCGCCACTTGTCACTACACTACCTCCAACTATGTACTACTACTAAACGAAAGTTTTTGTTTATTGATACTTTACTCACGAACAACCTCACCCAATCGCAAAAACCATTTGAACGGGTTCCATAAGGGTTTGAAGGAGTAGTTTTCGGCATAACAAATTAGGAGCTGGGGAATCAGTTTTTCGAAGTTCCTTAGAGACTAACGAGCGAACTAGTCAAGAGAGGGAAGAAAAGGTTTCTATACGTCAATCCCCTCCCTCTGATTCTTTTTCATTCGAACATAGGAAATGAGTAATGAAGAAGGCTCCAAAAGTCCTTGTTCTTATACGGTTCGTCTAATTAAAAGCGAGGCCAACGACCGCCGTACCCATAAAAAGCTGGCGCCAGACGATTATGATAACGAAGTAGCATGATCCGACCCGTGCGCAAAAAAGCGACCCTTACAAAATCAGTTGATGCAGTTGAAAGATGTCTGCTCCTACTTACTTTGTATTTGCTCTGCTATTACGTCTTGAACACAGGTAACATACAAGAACTCCTTAATACCAGTTACCGTCGCCAATTAATCTGTATTTATCCCCATATTTTGTTGCAACAAATGCATTTGTGTCTGTCGGGACACAAGAGACCAACGAACAGACTACTTTCAAAAGTAAAGGATGCATTGGGGACGAACGCTCGGGGGAGCACCCCAGTTGATCAGTTTTAAGGATGAAGGCTATGGGCTATAAAAGTTTATTGCTTTCCATGAGGATCGAGCTCACCCTGGAAGCCCATGCCTCATTCTCAGAGGACCACTGACCTTTATCAAACCAAAAACAAATCTGGTCGCAATAA